GTGGGTGACAAAGTTCACTGGCTTCCGAACACACGCACGACTTCTCGATAATATGCGTTTTTGCTCGCTGTAGTAATGCACACGTGGCACTGCCTCGGAGCACGCAAGGCAGTCTTTTCGATTTCACAAGAAAATCCTGAAATTTAATGCGCTAATTGTGAGGCATTGGGCAAAGCGCATTTCAGCGAGTTATGTTTCGAAGCGGCTCTCTTTGCTGCTGTGATTCACACAGAGAGACGAGCAATCCCGCCATCTGCATTTATGCGCATAAATTAAACATTTTTACTGCTTTCTTTTTTAGACCAAGGAAGTTTTATTCGTTGGTAAAAGCACCTTTCATCGTGAGAGAATCGTACTGTGCTGATCCAGTTTTTCAAGGTTGTCGCCCTTCAGGAGATCTGGGAAGCTCTCGCCATTCGGTTCAGCTGGTATTTGACCGAAAGGAAGATGGGATTCCTAGCAGTAGGACAGAGAGAGAGTCAAAAATGTTGCTCGCCTTGTCGACAGCCCGGCGATCGTCGTTTGTTATCCAGTAGTACTCTCGAGGCAATAAACAGTCACTTGGGCTGCTTTTGGAAAACTGAGCCTACCAGAGAGTCGATGGGTTCTGACGATTGATGTGCAGCTGAGGATCGGAGAATCTGGCACAGTTACACTCTGTAACATGGGGCTCCACTACGGAGGTTTTAAAAAATTCTGCCCCCGGGATTTTACCATCGGATTTCGTTTCTTCACAGTACACCTTCGTAGCATGTGTCTGTGCGCCGGGAGTGCACCTTCTGGTGCACATCTTCCCGTAGGTATCAGTCCTCTGTGCTTACATTCTACCGAAGAGAAATCGTTTGATTTATCGTTGTTGTACGGTAGCTGGCGTGGATAGGTGTTAGTTCAGAAGCGGCGCCACTCTAGCCCCTTGTTTTGACTGCTGCTGCATGTTTTGATTCTTTCCTCTGTATTCCTGGCACAGCTCTCTTCACCGGTCCTGATGGCTTGTAAGCGAGCAGCCCCGTGCTCCGTCTCTTATCACGGGATCGTAGTAGGAATTGTTGCGCTTTTGCAGATTTCACAACATTCAGCAGCTGTTCGGCAGTGAATGTTCGTGCTGGTGGCCAGTGCCTGTGGACATGGGAGATTCTTCATACGACGAGGATGAGGGTCGTTTGATGATTGACGATGCCGTCCTGGACAGCGGCCATTCCTCTGTAGCAGCAAGCAACGCCGAAGTAGTAGCCAGCGCAACGAGCTGCGAGAGGACTGTCGAACTGACCACTGCTTCCGAAGAAGGTAGGCATTTGAGCGATAATTCCCCCGGCAAAGCCAACGATTCGTTTTGTTGAGCCTCGGTTTGGTGTGCAGGATCAAGCGTTCCAGGTGTGGAAAGTCATCCGGTTGATCCGGAACCGAAACCGAATTTTTATTGCGAAAGTGCAGTTCCAAAAGTAGTTCAAGGTGCGCATCGGGACGATCGGCTCAAGGTGACCATTCGACGAGCACAAAGCCCAATGAACGCCGTTGCCGGACAATTTACTTATGTTAGCGAAAAACACGCTGATGGCGAGTCTTTTACGCCTTTTTTTTTGTAAATTTACTTAAATCCAATTATCGGGCACGTTATTAAAGTTCAGCGAGACTCTAGAGTTGCTCAGAAGCAAGCTGATAACCGTTGTTTAGCATCAGT